GACCAAAATCATTAATGATATCGCCTGGTACTTCAGTATTTTCTGCATCTTCAGAACCACCATTAATATTATCGGCCGTCTCTTGATTCAATTGTTCCATGTACATGTCCAACGTAGCATCGTCAATAGCACAAAATTCTTTTTTCCGTTCCATAATCAAATTTATGTTAGCATTGAATACATCTTTATGTATTATGTCTAACAATTCTTTTTCTTCGTCTCTCCAAGGTTTATACAACATGATCAAGGTTCTGAAAAATTCGGAAGGCTCTTTTTCAAGGTTGAATTTGTAGTAACGGATAACTTTTGACTTGGCTCTACGAGTTAAAAATCCAGAATCATTTCTAAGGGCAAAGACTTTTCCTGCAGGACCGCCAAGTAATGTATCAAGCGAAGGGCCATCATCACCAGATCCATCAGGTAAGTTGATATCAGAAAAGTTACTATCATTATTATCATCACCATCATTTTCTTCTTGACTGGTCTTGCGTTTCTTCTTTGGTGATTTTCGACTAATTTCATAATAGGCAGCAAACTGAGCCAAATTAATGTCTTCTAGGCAATCAGGTCTATTCGTATAATGATCAATTAAACCAGGTACAAAACAGTTAGTTGAATCAGGGTTCAATTTAGCTAGTTCCTCTTGACTTTTAAGAATGTGCGGGCGATTTGTTGGTCTTGAAGTAGGAACAAAAATTGTCACTGTACTCGATTCTACCATTCTAATACCAAGAAGATTATAAGCGGCTTCTTGTGCAGATATTTCACTGGAGTTATAGTACTGTGCAGCCAAAGATCGCAGCATATCAGTGGAATTAGTATCAGGATTATTTTTATGATTAACATATATTTCTTCCATTGCTTTGCTCATGCCTCTATCAGATATGTTGATATAATCCATAACGTATGCACAGCAAACGTAAGGATCCAGAATAAATTGAATATCAATATTTGATCGAAACAAACTGATTATTTATCATGATAGCATTTGGCCCCCTTTTAATATAAAGCTTGTTCATTTTGAGATTTACTCTCAATGCAAGAACATAATCGTTATAAGATCGAGCATCAACAAGATCCAGAAATTCTTCGAATAATGTATTGGAATCAGACAGCTCTTTATAATTGGTATCGAGATAATCCATGATTCGTTTGTTCAATTCCTTAAAATCTTTTATATTTTCAGCTGAATATTTCGTTAAATCCAACGGTTCCATAATTGTTGTGCAGCTGATAGGTGGAAAAGGGATGTTGAATCTACATACAACTTTGTTGCCGCCTCGTTTTCTTCTACATGTGCTTGTATGCCGATGCGTCTGTCTTGTTCGTAATAAGTCTTTCCAAGTTTCCGCATTGCCTTTTGAAGCTGCATCATGATGTGGACTACCATCCCATTTTTTACTGCAAGTGATAATTTTGTCAACAAAGCTGCAAATGTTTGCTTTTATGTCGTCTGCTTCAGTTTCGTTCTCACATATTTTGTCCTCTAATACCGGTGCATCTTTCAACCACAATAGCATGTGTACATGAGGAGATCCTATTGTTACATATATAAATTAAGTTCTTAATTTTTACAGAGACAAAATTCATACCTCTATGTTGGAATTCAACCCTGAAAAAGTACTCTGAAATTTCATGCCCAAAAAAAGGACCATCTTTTTCAGCCCAAGTTCTCTTCAACTCACGAAATCTATGATCAAAGTATCTAGCAGCAGTAATAGGATCACTTTGTAATAATCTTGCTTTCTCGGCAAAAGACAATGTATCTGCTTGTTCCTCAGTCATTACGTCGTCGTCAATAATTTATTTTAGCACGCAAAGTAGTTCGTTCCATTTACTTTCGGCTGCAGAAACAGTTACAAATACAGTTGGCACACCATATTGTCAAATCATAGCCATTGAGTTGTTTTTTTGATTTTTCCAATATTCGGAGGAAGAACGCACACCAGATAACGTCTTGAATGCTTGGTCTTTGCTCAAAAGCCGGTTTACATTATCCGTGTTACCAACATCCTTAGCTGTAAAAGGCATGTTACCATTATCAGTGTTCTTTCGCTTTCTTAAAATTGTGTTAACGTTAGAACTCATTTTCAATAATTGGGTCTTGCGGTCCATAAACAACAGATAATCTGCTCTTTCTACTGCTCTTCTATCGAATCTTCTGGCCATAGATTTTGTCACGGATGAATAAGAAATGGAATTTAACCCCTCTATCTTGGTACCAAAAAACATTTTAGGAAAAGACAAAAAATCACTATCCTTATCTTTTAAAATTGATAATGGGACTCTGCCTTTACCAGGTGCAAGTCTAATATTAAAGTCGTTGTCACTTGATAAAATAGAGTCTGTTGCTCCAGGATTCAAAGGCTCATCCTCAATATCATTATTTTCCCCGGTATTTTCATTTGGCTCATCTCCCTCATCATTATCTTCATTTTCTTCGACAACTAAATTCGTTGAATCCCATTCGGTTTGGTCTGCTAATTGAACTTCGTATTCGGTATACAATGGAGTAGTTTGCAAATACCTTGCAGCATTCCATACTTTATGTGGGCTGACATTTCCTCTGATGTAATCTTTTTTAAAAATAAGTTTTTTAGCAAGACTCAAGTGAACTACACCGGATGCATCGTAATTACGAGGTAAACAACTGACAGTAGTATCTACGTTTACAGGTACATTTACAATTCCTCCCTTACTCTTGAACTGTCCATGTTCACGTTTGTGAGTCCAAATAGACTGAAAGACATGCCTTGGGGCCACAAGTCTCCCCTCTAATCTGGTTAATTCCAAAACACAAGGTACTTTCGCAGGAAAGTTTAAACCATTACTCAATGCAATTGTTGGTATCTTATTATTTTTGATCGAAGTTTTGCAATTTGCGCAAAAATAATGTTTGCCACTTCCAATTTTTGTGATTGTAATGTTGGTATGATTGCTGTACACACCATTATCAAGTGGCCAATACACTGCATCCACAACATAGCCATCTGTTTTCCATTTCTCAAGCATCGTATCTTTGTTTAGCAAGGATACATTTTTGAGAAAAAATAACCCACCACAACAAATACAAACAGTAGTCGGTCCTTCTTTGATAGCTTTTTCATACTTTTTTCTACTTTTTTCCCAAGGTGTATCCTAATTGATTTTAAGAGAATTAGTCAAAATTTCAGAATGGTGAATGAAATGTATTACTTCGTGAATCTCATCTTCACTATCATTTTGACTGCCATCGCTTTCGTCTTCATTGTTACCAACGTCAAATTCTTCGTTGTCTTCTCTTTCTACCCTTTCTTGATCGACAATTATGTGGTATTTGACAAAATATTACATAGAAAGGTAATGAGATAAAAGTATATTTTTATTAAGGGTAAAAATAGACTAAAAGAACTCTGCTACTATGAAATAATTGATCCTTTTTATATTGCACAACTCTCCTGAGTTTTAATGATGAGTCAACCTTTCTGGTTTTGGAATAGATTTATACCTTGTTTCCCGCCTTGGGTTAAATGGATACTACTCGTTAGAATTGTTTCCAGATAACGTTGTCCCATATCAGTGGATCGGGAGCAGGAGTATTCTAATAAATCTTTAGTATTACGAGACACTTATTTATCAGATCATGCAACGGTTACTGTAAAAGATGCATACTTGTTTGTCAAGTGTAATTGGCAATAGAACATAATAGTTGATCATTTATTCATTATCTTTGTAATGAATAAATTACGATCCCAAATATAAAATGTCTTGTCGATATTTGTATATTTGGTTGTAGAAGCTAGGTACCATTAATTCATACACTATTTCTTTATACTCTTTATCAGCAGTATAACTATATCAATATATAAGTAAATTAACCATTTATATTAATAGCTGTTCTATTCTCTCTCTGGGTAGCTAATCCATTGAGAGAACTATTAATATTAATTTTCTCTTCTCGATCGGTGATATCGTAACTCAGTGGTATAGCATTCTGTATCCAACTGTCATTCGTATATCGTATTTAGGCCAATCATGCAATCTTTTATATAGAGGTATGTACTCGAAGTAGGAGAAGTTGTATAGCAGTATACAGGCGTATGCTGATATGCAACATCAAAGGTTGTTTTAATTTCATAGTTTATTTATTTAAACGATTTGCTTAATTATTCTTAAGTGAATCGTACCCAAATACGACAAATTACCTCTTCGATAATAGGTTCAGACTGATCCTCCATTTGTGGGTCGGGTTGCTCATCAGACTCTTCTACATCCTCCACTCTGGTGCGATGCTTACGTTTGTATTTACGCTGATATTTTTGCATTTGCTTTTTATTAATTGCATTTTGACGGAATTGCTGCTGATATTCCTTATATGTATCACTAGATGCCTGCTGTTGTCTCTTTTTTTGAGTTCTTTTTTTTTGAGTTCTTTTTTTTGAGTTCTTTTTTTTTGAGTTCTTTTTTTTTGAGTTCTTTTTTTTTGAGTTCTTTTTTTTTGAGTTCTTTTTTTTGAGTTCTTTTTTTTGAGTTCTTTTTTTTTGTTATTGTAAGAATCCATTCTAAATTTGGAGGTAGAGCTCGCTTCAACCATAGCATTATCTGTCGCACTCTTAGGTGTATTTTCTTCATCTGATGATTCACTAAAATTTCGGCGGCGTTTGGCTCTATTAATTTGAGCAATTCTTTCGAAAACGTCCTTGGGCTGTGGCAGCGGCAATCTTAAAAGAATTTTGCCCTGCAAATTACTTGTTTGATCTTGGCTGTTTATAACAGCATTGTCAAGATCTTTAACTTGATGTTTATTGACATTAGTAGAGCTTCCAGATGCCTCATAAGTTTTATTGAAAGCGGTGGTCTTTAATCGAAGAAAGATCTTGTTAGATTGGGTTGACTCAACCCCATCATTAGTCAATTCAATTGTGTCTGTTGTCACCATCCGAGACTTTCCCTTGTCTTTTTTTTTTTCTTTTATGTACTTTATTTCGTTTTTCTTTTGACATTTTATTAAAATTACTAAGGGCCCTCACAAGCAACAAAATTATTTTTTTAAAGATCCCGATTTAGGACTTTATTATTATTTCTTTTTTTTTATTTTTTTTTGTGAAAGGTTACAATTTTGCCAAATAGATGAATAAAAAATTAAATGGATATATCTAGGCGATTAACAATAACATCGAATTTTCTCCAGTGCCAAAATTTTCGGAATATCCCAATAAAGGATTAAAATCCAACGACCCCAGAATCCTTCTATCAGATGAAAAATCAGCCAAATTGGGCTACTGAACTCACCAACGTTTTTGTTTTTTTTTTTTGATAAAAGAGTTGTGTTTGTGATCCTCTTCATTTTTCTTTACCAATTCTTAACTATCCAATTTTATTTAACAAAATGCCTTTCCAAAAGTACACTACCATCGTCATATGGAATTCAGCAAGCACCAACGTTTTGATCGAGTTGTTTTCCGATTACGTTGTAAACGTGGGTGTTATTCGCTCACCTCAAGAAAAGCTGAATTTGAACAAGGCAACGGAAGATGCTTTTAATGCCAGTGACGCTATCAACGGTAGAAGGGACTTTGCAGCGATGAATAACAAGTGGATTCGCCTCTGTGATACATTCAGAACCAGACGAGACGATGCTAATTCTACTGGTAGTGCACCTCTTCAACACTGGGAGTTTCACGATCTGATGGAACAGGCAACATCGAGAATGCAGTAAAACTGTAGTGGAGACTTTGTTGTCGGTAAAGTGTAGAAATGTCTGATTCCATAATCATATTCATATCATCATCAAGTCCAAATAAAATTTATTGCGATTCAGCAACTACTGTAACAATTTGAGATAGGTTCATTTTGTTTTCTCTAGAAATAAAAAGTATATCGAAACAATACAGTCCTTGAAAAATAATAACAGATAGGTTAGCATTTTGAGTGAACGTTATATTTTAATCGTTCAAAAAGGGTCATTAAAAAGCAATGTCATGGATTTTGGAAAAAGCTTTCTTTTGGAAGTCTGAAGTAACCTTTCACAAAAAAAAAAAAAAAAAAAAAAAAAATAATAATAAAGTCCTTAATCGGGATCTTTAAAAAAATAATTTTTTTGCTTGTGAGGGCCCTAAGGCTTACAACTACGTATTTTATACTCCGTCTAATAAACCAAAAAGAAGTAATAAGAAATGAGTCTCTATTAATCCTTTATTAAAGTTATGGAGAGAAAGTCATCGCAAAAGGGAGGACGCTTTCTATATCAAACATCTGGGAGATTGAATCTGGTTAGGAATAGGCAGTGGCTTGTTTCTATCTTCTGAAACATGGCAATTAGAATTACATGGTCTTAAGTCAATCAATACTTTCTTATCTTGATTGGCCCAAATTATTAAGTGAAAAATTCTCATTAGCTGACACTTCAGTAACAGATTAATGAGAATCAAAAACAACCAATAATGACATAATTCCCAATATATAATCTGTAATAAGATTATATTGGTAATATGAGAGTTCCACTCGAATATTATAATTTAACCACATTGAAGGTCATTCTATACTGTCGTATTTGACGCCTAAATAAATCGAATACAATTACTATTTAATCTGTCTTGAGTTATAATATACTTCATATATTATAGCAGACACAGTGCCAGTTCTCATAATCTTCTAACTGGAAATCATATTCTACATTGGACCCTGGTTGGCTGATTTACTGCGGTTCCTTCTAGCACCTACGATGAGTAATCAAGTAATCCAATCATCGCACATATTGCTAAATGGATAAATGATTTCTCTGCTGGAAATTCCGGACATACTACCATAGGCTTACATAACTATAATTTATAAGCTATGTTTCATGTCGTTACTGATTTATATTTCAAATCCAACAATTCCCAGTCTCTGGAAATGTTTATTCGATCTACGCAGAAATTAATTGAAATAATAATTTAATATAAAAGGACCTCTATTTTTATCATGACAAACTCTCCAACTTATAATAAAGGATTAAAGAGTCTCATTTCTTTACTTGTTTATTTTTATCTTTTATTTTATTACCCTTTTATACTCAAATTATCACATATACGATATTTATTGGAGGAAATACGACACATATGGGAAATATCAATGGTGTTTCTGTTTTTGGTGCTCTCTATACAGTGTGTAACGAATATGAAGAAATTCGGGCCCAAGCTTTAGTTCCGACTAAAGCTCATAGTCATCTTCAACCTGTCTACGATAAATTGATTGAAAGCTACAATATCTATGGTTGCAATCTCCCGAAGTTTGTATTCACTGATAATGTTACTGCAGATCAAAAATTTCTCGAGTCTGTGATCCCAACATTGAAAGAAAATGTTTCACACTATTCAAAAAAAATTGATCGAAAGGGCAAGGTAAAAGAAATTGTTGATGCAAGCACTTCTAATGAAAACCAGCATCAAGACAACGCAGACATTTTAAATGAAACTGATCAAATGGTGCAAACTGATCTGGCTCTTCCGATGTATACCCTTCCTTTAGATGTCAAAGTCTGTGTTTTAGATAATTTGACAGCTATTAATTCAGTACTCAATGATCTGATTAAGATATCTGAAGATCGTGGCCCATTATGCGTTGGATTCGATTGTGAATGGTACTTCAACCGGTCTCCAATTTCAATTGGTAAAGTGGCTCTGGTTCAAACTGCCCCCGAAAATAACGTCTGGCTTATAAGATTGAACAAGTTTAACGAAAACAATTTTCCAAAGGCATTGAAGATCTTTTTAGTTGTTGATAAAATAATTAATATTGGCCGGGTAGTTGGTGGAGATATGAGAAACTTGGAGCGAGACTTCAAGCTGAGCGTGGGTCATGGGAAGTTAGAATTGGTGACTTATTGTAAGAACAAAGGTGCAATTGAAAAAGCAAACGTTGGGCAGGATTTTATTTGTTCCGCCGTTTTTAAAAAGAAATTACCCAAAGATAGCAATTCACCAAGACTTAGTGATTGGTGCTCCACCAGTCTGTCAGAAAATCAAATCAACTATGCCGCATGCGATGCCTATGTATCATTGGAAATATTCAATTTTTTAGAACATGTTACTCCAATTGGTACTCAAATTTTTGAAAATCCTAACCCAAATATCTTTGTATCTGTTCATGTCAAAGGAAGCAAACCAGCTTGTGCTTTTGGTTACACTACGGTGCCTACTGATACAATGCATAGTATGAAGAACAAAGCGATAATTAAGATGACAAAAAATGCTATTCCTGGTACCACGATGATTGACTCTTCCGACAACACCAACAACAAATCCCTGAGTGATTTTGGTGACACACCTTTTGAAGTTGTAACTGATTTAAATCATTACCAGCTTTTTATTGCTAGTGAAGATTGTTTTGAAAATACAACTAATCATGCAAATCGCCCTGAAGAAACTTTGGATACCAGCTTAAACAACTCTGATGCTCAAAACATTTTACCTTCAAGAGTACCTAAAGATGTTTTCCATCTCATGGATATGATTCCGATTCAAAAAACGCTTGGATTTTCCAAAGAATTCTCAAGAACGTTTAGAGATGTCTTGTTTGTAAATGACCCGGAAGAAGAAAGACTTGTGACGGAATACTTAAAGATTAGAAACATATCTTTAGAAAACATGATGGTGCAAAATTCCGACTGGGTGCTCAAGAGAGTAAGACGATATGTCCCCAGTCCATCCAAGCTATACCCTGTCGTGAAAAAAAATTTTGAGGTGTATGGAAATGCCATTTGTTCTGTCTCTGGAAACAAGCTTTTTGACAAAAAGGCTTGGAAGGTGTCAAACATGGTACTTGAAGCCATTTGACTTGGGCATGTCTCGGATCCTCCTGGTGTCACTTGGTACTATCAAATGAGCAAAGATCAGAATGGTCTTCAAGTGTACAGATGCGTGAGAGGCACGAATTCTGCTGAAAGAGGTGTCCATCAGAATATCATCCGAAAATTCCCGTCTTTCAATGCCAGTTCCGCTCTTACCAACTGTGTCTTAGCAGATTACCGTCTCCGTCACAACATAACAGTAAGCTGCTATAAAAATAATTAAAAGTACTTGTACTTCATCTAATGTGACCTTAATTTTTAATATAGGTTGGGTCAAAAAACAGATACGGGGTCATTCACAAGACCCATTTCTCGCCTTGGATCAACCAAGCCATTAATTTTCTCAGGGCTGAAACGAAACAAAATGTATTGCAGCCCTATAGTGATCCAAGTGGAAATACACTCTTTCTTGCGGCATCTCCAGAAACGTTCGGTATTTGTCGTATGCCAGAACAGCTTATTGACACATATCATATGCAACGTAATACTACAAACTATGATAATGGTAACTGCTATAAGAAATTCGAAAGTATGACCGTCAAAAGCAAGCTAGTTCGATGTGTCAGTCCAACTGTACAAGTTACAAACAGAAACAAGTCCGTTTTTGGTGGTTTGCAACATCTGTATCTCTCTTATATGCAAGGAACAAAGATAGCTGTTACTTTAGTTCATACTGAAGAAGAAATGGAGTTGTAGTTGTTATTACGAAGAAATAATTCTTCGCTTGCAAATCAAGTGTTCTCTGAAAAACCATGGCAAGATTTCACCATCTTATGGTCTCAGCAGTGTAATGATGGCAAGAAAAAAACCATTTTTTTACAAAACACCAGAAAATCTACGTCATTACTTTAATCAAAGAGAGGATCAAAGCAGATATCTCAACTCAGTAATTTTAAACAAAGAAAGAGTTGACTCTGCTTCTACGTTGATTAAAGAATTATACGAAAAAAGACCACTTGAAGAAGCTAATTGTTTTCTCCTATTACCAGGACAAACAATCATGCCAAATATTCAAAACTCAAAAGAAATACATCAACAAGATAAGGCTTCGTTGACATCCAAACCTCTTCCTAAAATTATGCCATCTCAATACATCTATGCACAAAACTCCAATATGCCTCTCAATTTTAACTATTCTATGCAACCAAATGACATGTCTCCATCTCGCCTACCTCAAAATCTTATGCCTCAAAACCTTATGTCTCAAAATCCTATGCCTCATAACCATATGCCTCATAACCATATGCCAAAAAACCCTATGCCTCAAAACCTTATGAATCTACCTTTAAGCCCATCACATAGAACGTCACGAACGCATCGACTCCTTTATTCCAATACACCACGACCCACTGTAATGTGTGAATCAAACCCAAAGCGAAAAAAAACAAGAACATGTGCCATACAGTAGCAGTATCTGCCCCGGAAGCTCTAAAAGAAAATATTGTACATATAAGCCTCAATAAAGAATCTAATTCATCTCTTAAATTCAATTATTTGTCGACGATCCGACTTTTAAATTTTTCTAGGAGGGCCTACCGGCCCTCTCATCAACATTTTAATTAATTTTTTTCCAACTACAGACATGGTCACAGAGCCTAAATTTTCATCAATTTTTACACTATTAGTGAAAACGCTTTCACTAATCTGTCTTTGAAATAAGCCAATTGTAACTGTTAATATTACATTATTTTAGCAATGATTTTTGCATTATTATGAGTCTATGATTTCATTATTTTAGTTGCCTTTTCTTATTTTTATCATAAATAAACTTAAAACATGTCTGAACAAAGCATAGAAGCTAACAATTCCGGCTACAGCAGTAGCAACAGTGACAAAGACAACAATATAAACAGCAATAATGATAGCAACAATGACAGCAACATCAAATTTACTCAAGAAAGTAAATTAACTGGGTCGAAGTCTACTGAGAAACGTGGTCAATGGTCAGAAAGTAGAAAATTGGCAGCCGTTGAGGCCAGCATATCTCATCGTCTTTTTGACAAGAAAAAAAACAATGTAACAGTAGCATGGGATTTAGTTATCCAAGAAGTCAACAAGGTAGACCCTCGTTTGAGGTCTCTTGGTTTGACTTCATTAAGAAACTATTTGAAGAAAGCAAGAAAAGAAAAATGCGGATCGACTTGCCAGTGGTACAAATGATTCTGAAACGACTCTCGAGAATCGACTGAGCTCAATGGATGATGAGGTAATTAATTTAAAAATCTGATATACTACAAGGTTTTAATAATTTCCATCGATTAAACTTAAGATGACTGAAGTCGAGACGATCAAGGATGTAGAAGATGCTCAGGCCAGCTCTGCCCGCATAAAAAAAAGAGAAACCCAGGCAGGGTTATGCTCTCAATCTTTAAAAGAAGTGAACAAAAAAAGAAAGGCAACTCAACGTGAAATTAAAGGCAAACAGTCACAGATATTTCAGCAGCCAGAGGCAAGAGAAGAGATGTATGTGATCGAAGACGATAACAACACGATGGAACGTCCCACACAACAAAGACATTTTGATATAAAGCGTGCAGTAGAGGAAGCACGAAAGAATGAGTATGCTTTTGCTTTGGCTAAATCGGAAAAGCAGATACAATACCAGCGTGCTTTTTTGAACGATGTTAAAAGTTTAATCAACAAAGGCAAAGAGGAGACAATTGCGGCTGTAGAGGCAAGCCAAAAGAAATTTGCAGATGACATCAAGATAAATCAAAAGATCTTTGAAGATAACTTGTTGGACTCTGTAAATAAAGCAATATCGTCTCAAGCCAACGTTCAGCAACATCCTCTGCGGGTTGTCTATCATTACCCCCAAAAGCCACATTAACAAATACGTCAAAAAATGTATCAATTTAAACAAAACGACTCAAAATAAATTTATTAAATATTAGTTATACTGTCGGTATATTGTTGTAACGTAGGAGGTGATAGTCTAAAGTAAAAGCTGGTTTGATTTCCATTACTAACACAGGTATGTATATTTTTCAAAAGGGTTGAAACAACATAGAACATTCCAACGCGACTTAGAAATACCTTTTGTCCTGGTCTATATCTGACGAAAGCAAACAGAGTTGCGACATGCCCAAACTCCCACTCCGCACAATCCCTGACTGTCGACATCATTTCGTTTGTTGTTCGTTGATTATCTGTTAGAGCCAAACCAGTCAAAAACGGTCTAATAAGGCAAGATGATGGCCGATATGCGGGATCACCATACAGAGCGTAGAATTTATCGCCAATATCTTCACAGTCCAAGATTTCATCCAATTCGCTAATGATATCTGAGCTATCCAACAAGTTCATGTCATGAATTGCCCCAGCAAAAGGTCCCCATAAGCTAACAGTGATACCGTCAGGAATTACAACTGCTTGGTATTTCAACCCGTGCTCTCTCACATGACCGTTATATACACTACCTTGATTTGCACCAGGTCTACACACAGCATTCAAAGTTCCATCTATAAATCCAACGACCTCAGTATAAGGCGAGCCTTTTTGGATGATAGCTTAGCTGAATCGTCTCAAGTTGTAAGGTCGCAAATGATTTCTTGCACGACGTATACCTTCGTTGTACTTCGAATACAATAATACAATCATTTCGTTGAATATCGTACAAATAGTCGAATAGCTTATACCAAAAAGGAGTTCAAGATCAATCAATCGAGACGGATAGGCAAGTCTACAAAGCATGATAGCAAATGCCTCGATGGTAGCCCAATAAAATTGTTGGGATGTATTTGCATGACAGGTAATCCTCTCAGTAAGATGCATGCTGGTCACTACAGATTGTATTTGCTAATACGTAAATCTAAATAGATGGATACTCATCTCGTCAGTGAAGGACTGGATATCTAGACATTGACCATCATTGTACATCGTGGATGGCATATCTTTTTCGAAATCGTCCTCATATTCGTCTTCGAATTCTTCAAGGGACTGTTGCTCTACTTCACGTAGCCGGTTGTAGGCACTGGTTAATTATTTCTCCACATGTTAATGATATATTCAGACATTTTTTTGTATTGTTTTAAAGATTATTTGAGAAGAAAAAAGAGTAATGCCATGAGTTCATGTTATCATTAGATTTAAGTCGCAGATTCATAAATGTCTGACGTTATTGGATTATATGTTACGCTTTATTAGGAAAGTGCAAATCTACGATGACACCAATATTTATTACCAAAAATCAAAGTGTAAAAATTAGTGAAAATCTAGTCCCCTAAAGTCTCTAATATATAAATAAAAGATTCATATGAGTTGATAAAGAACTACCTGCTAGATATTTGATGTTTGATTTCTGATAATTTCAACTGCATCATGAGGGGCGCTCAAGTGATTTTTAGATTTCAATTTTTTTCTTTAAACGAATAAAAGTTAGCAAAAAAACTTGTAACTTGAGTCTAATTTTTTTAACTTTCAAGGTAGAATACAATTGGAGGAGGACTTAAAAATGATGTAATATGGTCCTGAGGTACAAATGATGATATGAAGTATGAAAAACCAAACTAACAAAGACCTTATGTCATTTCAGAGACACTTTTTGCTATCCGTTATAACAGTAGCTCTTATATAAATAAATCAGAGGTTTTTTTTTATTCTCTCCATCTTCAATATCCAAATAATTTATTAAGTATGCAACAAACACCAATTAACATTCGAGCTCGTCCTGACGATAATGAAGAACAATGCTCATCTCCAACACCTGATCCACAGGGCAGCACCTCTGCTACTACTCAAGTTATTAGGGCCGAAAAGCAAAACCCTACCAGCTGGATTCATGATTACGACATGGATGGAAAATGTTCTAAGAACATTATTGTTGAATTGATGTTGGAAGGGAAAAATTGGGAGCTGTACACTGGAAGTAGAAACCAAAAACCAGGAGAAACCAAATCTCAAACAATTTTAGCAAACGAGCTACGCCAGGTCCTCACCAACAAAGGACATATCGACAGAAACGAAAAGAGTATCAAGGAGACAATCAGGTACTTTAAAACAACATTTAAGGCAACGTACGATACAATCCATTCAACTGGTAATGTTTGTGATCCTGCGACTTATGGCAACATCACTGTTAGAAGTATGAAAACTAAATAATAAGTTACGACATTCTGTTTACCACGTTTACCTTATTACCAAACTTACAGAGAAAACCATTAAACTGTTCAAATGGTACTACGATCTGCTCCCTTTGTTTGGATTGAGCCGACTTGTTACCGGTATTGGACATCAATCAAGTGCAAATCCAGTATTGGAGACCAACGCCAATCGTGCTATTGTTCGATCAATGAGCCCTTGTAGCAACGATTTTGATGCGGACGAAGATGATGTTTTTCCTGTGTCCGAACATGACTCTGAACCTGCGTCTGCGTCTGTGTCCGCACCTGTGTCTGCACCTTCAGGTACTCAGGCCTCTCCACCCGTCCTATTGAAAAGAAAAAATAGAATCAAAAAAGGAACATCACAGACGTACTCTCTGATTACTATGACGAACAATCAAAGTCTACAGCAGAATATGTCATATTCATTAAAAAACAAAAGACCATCATGAACAGGATATGAGATTAAAACGATTTGATTATATCCTTAAGTTGAAAGATGAAATTCGCCGTGAAGAAATCAAAATGATGATAGCCGATCCTAAAAAATATGATTTTATTCAAGATTAATAAACACATTTAATGGCTATAATCATTGTTACTTAATATTGTTTTTCGGTTAATTTCTTTTGGAATTTATATCATCATTTTCCATTGATTGATTTTCTGTGTCTCTTGAACTTCTTAGTGGATAACTTTCTTGGTACTCTTCAAAATCAATTGGATCATACAAAAGAAAGTTATGCAATACACAACAGGCTCGAATCCAATTTTCTTCTTCTATCAATGATTCATCTGTATTGATTGTAATTCTAAGATCTTGCAAACTTTGGAATTTTCCTATTAGGATTCCATTGCAGTGCTTAATTGCAACGCGAGTATAAGCTACCTCTAGATTAAATTTTTCGATTTCCTCTTTTGTGGCCTGAGTCGAACCAGTTTTGTGACCAGGAATGACAGTCGAAGAGACCCTGTATGCACTGTCGGCCAAGATATATTCACCGGGAGAGAAATAGTTATCAGGGAATTCCGCCAATTCCTAATTTTGATAAACGCTATTATCATGAATAGCACCAGGTATTCCAGTAACATAGAAACGGATCCTTCGTTTATGATCACAAACAAGCATAGTGGAAATACCGTAGGCACAATTATACGACCAGAATTCATTTTTTTGGATGGTAGGGCTACGCTCCAGCTTAATAAATGTACCATCCACAAATCTAACACAAGAACGGAAGGAGCTATTCTCGCTGATCTTCTCTGATATAATACATCGTTCATTTCTGTCTGGCCAGTGCAGAAA